TCGCGGCATGTGGGATCTTCCTGGACTGGGGCACGAACCCGTGTCCCCTGCATCGGCAGGTGGACTCTCAACCACTGTGCCACCAGGGAAGCCCTCTCTTGCTACCCTTAAACAGTCAATTATATTTTTTTAAAAAGCAACATTTACTCACATATTTATCATCTCTACTTTTCTTCATTCTTTTGTGTAGATCCAAATTCCCATCTGGTATCATTTTCCTTTAGCCGAAAGAACTTCCTTTAACATTACAGTAGGTATGCCGGTGAAAAATTCTCTCCATCTTTGGTTCTTTGAAAATGCCTTTAGTTCACTAAATATAGAATTCTAGCCTTCTGTGATCTCCTTTCACTTCTAAAGATGTCCTTGCATTACTTCTGGTTTGTATTGTTTCTGATAAGAAATCAGTAATCATTTTTATTGTTTCCCTGTATAATTCATTGTTTTTCTCTGGCTCATTTCACAATTTTTTCTTTATCATTGGTTTTTAGCTATTATCTTGTGCCTTGAGGTGGTGTTTTTGTGTTTACCTTACTTGGAGTTTGTTGATCTTGGATGTGTGAGTTTAGAATTTTCATCGAGTCTAAGAAAATTATTGTCATTATGTCTTGAAGTATTATTTTTCTATCCTCTTTTCTCTTCTCCTTGTAGGTTACCAATTACATATATATAAGCTACATGGTATTGTTCAGTGGGTCACTAAGGCTGTTTGTGTTTTTTTTTTAATTTTTGCCTTTTTTCCCCTCTGCATTTCAGTTTGGATAATTTGTATCACACTGCCTTCAAGTTCAGCAATCTCATCTTCAGCAGCATCTACTCTGCTGTTAAACCTACCCAGTTAGTTTTTTATTTCTTGTGTTGTATATTTCAGTTCAAGAGGTTCTTCTTTATGGTTTTCATTTCTGTATTGTGATTCTTTATGTTTGTTATGTTTATGTTTTCCTTTAAACACATTCACTTACACATTTATTTATTTATTTATTTATTTCTTCTGTGGTGTGTGGGCCTCTCACTGTTGTGGCCTCTCCCGTTGCAGAGCACAGGCTCTGGATGCGCAGGCTCAGCGGCCATGGCTCACGGGCCTAGCCGCTCCATGGCATGTACGATCCTCCCAGACCGGGGCACGAACCTGTGTCCCCCGCATCGGCAGGTGGACTCTCAACCACTGTGCCACCAGGGAAGCCCTCACTTACACATTTATAATAGCTGTTTTAAAATACTTGTCTCTTAATACCATCATCTTTGTCCTTTCTGGACGTGTTTCTTTTGACTGTTTTTCCTCTTGATTATGGACCCTATTTTCTTGCTTTGTCCCTTGTCTTGTAATTTTTTATTTTTTCATAAACATTGTGAATACTGTGTTATCAAGGGCTGAATATTGTTGTCTTCCTTTAAAGAGTATTTATTTTCCTAATAGGTAGTTAATTTGCTTGTTAAGGCATTGCCTTTTGGGGGTCTCTTCTGAATGTCCTGGGTATTCAGTGAAGTCTCTTTACTCTGGTTAGAACTTGAGCGTGTCTCTGTCCTGTGGGAGCTCCAGGAGTTGTTAATCTTACAGCTCTTTGATAGTTGTTGTTTCTTCAGTAGCTGTTCTTTGCCTAACTGGAGGAGTCTCAGCCTATGTACGTCTACATTAGTATTTAGCTAAAGACTCGGGGAACCTCTTTGGCCCAAGGGACTTGTGGCCCCATCCAGAAGAAGGGGAGGGGCTGCTTCTCCCTCCTCTCCATTACTGACCTGTAAATCCCAGGCATTTTTTCCTCCCTGAACTCTTTGTCTCTCCAGCTCAGGAATACTGTACTCTGCTTGGATTCCCCGTGCTCGCTTTGGCAGCACATATACTAAAGTTGGAATGATACTTGGATTCCCGTTCCTGTGCTGTGGTTTAGAAAGTGCCTCCAGGCAGAAAGCCAGCTTGATCTTGAGGCTCACTTAATTTGTTTCCCTTTTCTTAGGTATCACAGTTTGGTAGTGTTTGTGGTCCAGAGTCTGAAAACAACTGTGTGAAATATTGTATCCTGGTTTACAGTTATATATGTGGGAGGACTAGTCTAGTGTTATTCCTTCATCAGAGTCAGAAGCAGAAAAGATTCTTGAGATCATTCCGAAGTCATCAGCCATGACAACTTTTGACTTCCTTACAGCATTGGTTACCACCTGGAATCAGTATTTGGAAGCATACTGTCATCCCTGAAAGAATTTAGAAATAGCAAGGGTGTATTTGTTTATCACAATGACTAGGCACTACTACCATTTGGTGGCTGGTGGCCAGGAATGCTAAATGTCCTATAATGAGTGGAACAGTCTAGCCCAGCAGACAGTTATCTTGCCAGTAGTATTCTAGTTAAGAGCACTGCCTCGGGGAACAGTGTTCTTTCGGTGCTTCTGTACAGTCTTCTCTCTGCCAGCTCTCCTCTTCTAGCTATAGCTACTCACAACTTATGCTTCAACATCCTCATCACATCCTTAGAGAAAAATTTCTCACATCTGCCTAGGCTAGCTTAAGGTCCCCCATGTGGTCATCCATAGATAAGCTTCTGCTCGTGGCCACTTACTCTACCCCAGTACTTGGTATATACTAGATGTTCAATGAATATTTGTCGAGAGGACGGATGGATGGTTGGATAAAGGCTGACTCTTTTTGGCTGTCTAGGCAGTGATGGGCTGATGCAGGTCGGATGACCAGAGTACCATCACATCCCTGGGACCTCCCAGGGCTGCCACAGAGGCCCACAGGAAGCTCACTGGGTCACATTGAGACAAGGTTCCTTCTATTTGGGACAAAGTACAAGAAGATGTCAGTCCTCCCAGAGGGTAACAGCCTCCTGCTTCATCCCACTGGAAAGACAGAGATGTGTGCCGGCTTCTGACTGTGATTGAAGGGGCCAGAGGGGCTTAGGAGACAGGATGGGTGTGTCTAGGGGAAGGTGAAATGTTAGCACCTGTCTGCCCTCTCCTGTTGCTGGGTCATGTTCCCTCTGAGGTACAGGGGATAGAAACTCAACTCTTGGTTTCCCCTGAGCTTGAATCTCCAGTCAGATATTATGGTGGAATAAGCACTTACTTCCCCTGTACAATCAATGTGGGCACCTGTGTCCTATGGGGAGTGTTCAGCCCTCCTCCCTTTAGCTGCCTCCAGTTTTCTTTAATATGCCAACCTCAGATGGCTTCACCTACTGCTACTCCATCGACCTCCCAGAGCGAGTTGCACTGAAGCTCGACCAGAAGTTCCCCTTCAGCCTGATGAGGAAGATTTCGATGTTCAAGTACATCTCCGGCTCTTCAGCTGAAAGAAGGGCAGCCCACAGCCGGAAGTAAGTTATAGAACTCTGTGCTTTATCCCTAAAGCAATTCCTGGGCCTTGAGAGGGTGTGACTCGTTCACTGTCCTGGGGAATAGGGAAGAGGGTGTGGGCAGCCTGGGCCCAGAAAAATCTGTGTACAAATTTCTCCCGAGCACCCTAGATTCTGCCCAGCTGCATCTGAAGTAGGGACCGAGCAGGAAGGGGCTCTTGTGCATAATCCCGAGTGACTTGTGGCCCCATCCAGTGGCATTAACAGCCCTCAGCGCCGACATGCACTCTGTGCAGGTGGGATTGGGCTCCTGCGTGTGACGCTGGTAAGAAGCACAGTCCGCGCAACTGACTGGGAGCCTTAGGAGGTGGCATGGCCCGAACCTGAGAGGGTTTTCTTGGCCACCTGGCAGGAGAAGGAGAAGCTTATTGTTTTCCAGTCCAGGCACGTTAACTCTCAATGGAAAGTCCTGGGCAAGCCGCCAGAGCTCACGTAGCCTGACTCCCTCCTTTCAGAGAGAGGGCCCAAAGGGGATAAGAGTCTGTCTCCAGGTAACACAGAGTCAGAAGAGCCCAGTCTAGAGCCAGGGGCTCCTGCTTCCGGGTCCTACTGACTCCCTGTCACTGCGGCACACACTGCCGGCCTTGGGTGGCCTTCACTGGTTTTTGCCGATGCTGAGAGTTCACAATGGAGGAGGTTTCCTTTCCTTCAAGTCCCTCCCAAAGAACGGGTTCAGTACAAAGTCAAGGTGCTTTGTCAGTGGCCCTTTTCTGCTTCAGCTGTGCAGTACATCTTGCCCCCGTGCTGCCCTGGAGGCAGGACTTTGGCTGAATTGGAGCCTTGCTCCTTGTACTTTATTTTAGGAGGTGGACACTCCAGCCTTCAGCAGCTCGGAGCCCTCTGACCATTTCTTTTTTATTTTTATTTTTTTCACCAGGCCGCACGGCTTGCAGGATGATCTTAGTTCTCTGACCAGGGATCGAACCCAGGTCCCCACAGTGAAAGCACTGAGTCCTAACCAGTGGACCGCCAGGGAATTCCCCACTCTGACCATTTCCTAAAGGCAGGGATGGGTACTGGGAAAAATAGAAACGCACACTCACCCATTTTGTTTCAGGCAAGTAATTCCTGGAGTCTAAATGGGTGGGAGGTGTTTAAATTTAGAATTAGGTGTATTGTAGCTTTTTGGCTCTTAATTGCCATTCTCACAGAATCTAGAGAGAACTTAAGGGTCCTCGTTTGCAAATGCTCTCTCCCCCGCCCTCCCCCGTGAAGGAATCCCCTATAAGACAGCTGACGATGTTCACCCCTGGCGGCTGGGGGCTGGCTCTCCAAGGCAGCCCATGATGAGAAAGGTCTTCCACGCTGAATCGCAGTTACTTCTCTGTAACTGTGACACCGTGGTGCTGGGTGATCCTGCTTCACCATGACGCGCTGATCTGGCCAGGGGCCATGGTGACCCTCTCAGCTCCTTCTGTGTCCCTTGCATGGCGTGGTGTTCAATCCCTCGTTATCCTGGCCTGCTGTAGGCACCCGGAACAGAACGTGATGTTTCGGATGACCTGACAACGGGACACAGGTAGTATTAGAACACGCGTGTTTGTTTCAGCAGTGGACCTGACTACCCAGACAGCCTTGTCTCCCTGGAGGCTCTTGTCAAGCTTCTTATCGGCCAAAACCTCTATATTTTTTAAATGCCAGAAGTGCTGTTAAGTGTCCTGTATCTGTACTTAAGCAGCTGATTTGTAAGCTTAGGTTTGGATTGAAATGTATACAGGTTTAGTCTGGTTACCTAACGCAGGCATCAGTGGTGTTGACATTTGTTCTTCATATTTGGAACTCTGCATGAAGGTCACAGGCTAAAACCCTTAGAATGTGTCCCCCTTTGTGGCCCCAGCCGCACGCGTCTGTGGTGGGGTCTCCAACCTCAGCACAGACAGCTCCCCACGTCTGTCATGTCGGTTCCTGCCTGCCAGGACTTTGAGTTGTGAGTCTTTATTCCTGAAGACGCGGGTAGAATATCTCCCAGCAGACAAGGCCTGGGCCCAAGCCCTGTGTTACCCGTTAAAGCCTTCCCCTCCTCCCTCCCACAGAGGTGGATCCATTCTCTCAGGGTCCAGTTGCTGAGCCGACCACAAACACTGACTGCTGTGATCTGTCCCCATCTCCACCTGGTCCATCCAGTTTGCAAGCTGCTCTTACACCTCAGGGTGTCTCAGGCATGGGCCTGATACCCCTTCCTCCTGCTGGCTTACTGCAGGACCGTGAGTGGGCCCTGGCCCCTCTGTCCAGTTGAGATTGACCTTCCTCCCCACTTGGCACTTTTACAGCTGGTTATAGGAACCGTCCACAGCACGTTGTAATAGAAAGCAGTATAGTGACCCACGCTTCGCGCCTGCGGATCGACCGCTGGGGCTGCTGTGTGCCCCGGCATGAGTGGCTGAGTGACCATTTTCTCTCTGTTCCTTTCCAGGCTGAACCCTGTGCCTGGCTCCTACCCCACACAGAGTGGCCACCCTCACCTGGCCCCGAACCACCCTGTGGCCCAGATGCAGCACACCAGTGGCCAGAAACTGGCTCCCTGGCCGTCCTGGGTCCCTGGGCACACGGCCAGCCTGCCACCGTACCAGCCCACGTCCGGCCTGTGCTACGTGCAGAACCATTTTGGCACAGTCCCCAGCTCCTCTGGTGTCTACCCGGCTTCTGCGGGTGCCTCCCTGGGGGTCCAGCCCCCCGCCCCCCTCAACTGCCCTGGCACAGTGCATTCCGGGGCCCTGGCCAGCTCAGTGACTACAGGCTCCAAGGAGTGCTCAAGGGTCCTCATCCCCTGAGAGAGAGTTTCCGGGGAAGCGATCTCCCATCTCGGCCTTCCGAGGAAGGTCCTTTCTGAGCTGAGATGTTCTTGACAGAAAGCTACTTACTGAATACCTCTCTGTGCCAGGCTCTGTGTTGAGTATTTTGCTATGTGTCGCTATTTCATTCTCATTCATCCTCATGACAACTTGCGAAGTATAGCTTGTCGCCCCCAGTTTACAGATGCAGAAAGCGCGGCGCTCTGTGAGGCTGTGAGGCCATGTGGCCTTGTAGAGGCACAGCTGGGGCGCTTGGCTCCAGGCCCAGGCCACACCCACCCGCTGTCCCGCCCCCCCACAGGACACCTGGGAGAAGAGGGCATTGGTGGTCAGTGGCTCATTTCAGCTCTGTGTTTCCCTCCTGTCCTCGTACGTCGTGCTCGTGGTTATGCCGTGTTCGTGTGTCTGTGCGTGCCCTTTGGGAGCTCCCGGCTGGTGTGCTCGCCAGTCCCCAGGCCTGTGCGGTGTTCCTCCCTTGCGGTGACCCCCCCCAGCAGTCAATGACTTGGTCAGGACACTAAGAAGAATATGTCTGTTTTTTCTTACATTCCGCCCCACACCCAGACTTCTGCCCCGGAAGTGGTGAGACAGGCCAGCGTGAGCCGCAGCAGCATGCTTGTGGATCCATAGTGTTGATTACCTTTGTATAAAGAAACAGCCTCCAACCTGCCCTCGGTGTGTGGTGTCTTTGTGGTCTGGCCAAGGAATACAGAGGGCAGCGAAGAGAAGCACACCCAGGTCAAGTCAGGCAGACGACTTCCCAGCGGGCATCTGACGTGAGGGCGTGAGTTGAGAAGGTCCCCAGAGAGCTGAAAGGACAAACGGGAAAGTTTGGCAACCCTGAGATTGGCAACAGCGGGGAGCTGCTGTGGTGTTTCCAGGGCTCCAGGCTGGGTCACCACGAGAAGGGCTGCCTGCGGGACCTTACGCCAGGGAGTGACACAGGCACCGGCCGCGGTGGCCTCTGAAGCACGAGGCGGGGAAGAGAGCCCTGGCTTCTTTGTCACCTGATCTACCCGCAGGGTCTCCTATGGGCCATATTAACCAGGAAACCTTTGGCAAGTGAGCCCAGGAAATGTAGTTTGCAGGGGTCAGGCCCCACACACACCATGCAGGGCGGGACAGGGACAGGGATGTGACTGAGCCTACGGGCGCCCGACCAGGCCGAGGGGAGCGCCTGGCTCCTGATCGGCCTTCAGCTGAGCTCTTTGAAGTGGGCTCACGTTGAGAAATCACGCCACATGCAGGTGTCCTCACAGATAGCAGCACACGCGGCCTTCGTTTACACCTGGAGCTGGATGGCCTGCTCAGGGCTGGCTTTTTGGGAGGCCCTGGGTATTAGAGGTGGATAAGACACACCCACAAATCCGCAGCAGTGGACAGGGCAGTGAGTGGCCTTCACTTGGGCGCGGGGCAGGGCATGAAGCTGAGACAGTGGCTCCGGAGCGGGATTGTGAAGAGGATTCACCAGCCGAGGAGCCGAGGAGCTGGGGGCCCAGGCTGCCGCTGAGCCCCGTCTGCAGTCCCAGAGCCTGGTGTCTCCAGCCACACCCAGCATCTTTTCCCATCGTGTTCACTCGCTGAGTGCAGGCCGCTGTGTGTCCCTTAGACATTTTCCCTCCAGTCCCAGCCTGTATCCAGAAGCAGGTGAGGTGGCCACCTGCTCCCAGCGTGGCACAGTCACCTCCCTCATGTCTGGCCTTCCTGCTGGGCTGTCTGGCTGGAGCTGCGGAGGCCTTGGGCCTTGGGGATGGTCAGGCTCCAGGGCCCTCATGCGATCCCGAGTAGAAAGCCAAAGGGCCCTCAGAGGTCATTCTGTTCAGCCGTCTCCTGCACCCCTGCTTTCCCTAACGGGGTTCCAGGGAGGCAGGATGGGTCTGGCAGAGCAGCTGACAGCAGCGCCTGCCTTGGGCTGTGGCCACAGCTGCTACGCTGAGACTGGTCCTTAGTCCGTTCCCCTGGACTTTGCTTGGGCCGCAGCAGGCAGCCTGGAGCCAGGTCAGAGGGGGCATTTCTCCCCTGAACACGCATATGAGAGGACCTGGAGGGGCTCCCAAACCCCTCCCCAACTTGCCTGTTGAATGATCCGCCAGTGTGCCCCCTTCCGCAAACACCAAGTGTGTGTCAAGCCTCAGGCCGGGCCTGGAAACGGAAAGCTGAGCTCCGTGGGGGCAGAGAACCCCCTACACGGGGCTGACACGCAGTAAAGATCTGTTGAGCAATTGAATGAACTGGGATCCCTGCCCTTGGGGAGCTCAGTCTGGGGGTGTGGGGAGTGGATGATTAAAGAACTGTGATTCAGCGACGCTGTTCAGGCGCTCCCAGGAGGCGCCCAGACCAGCCTGGAGAGCTGGGGGTCGGTCTCGGATACCCAGCACACACCCTTCCACGGGGGCGAAGGGGGGACTTTGGAGGGAGCGAAAGAGGAAGACACTAACCACTGGCTGTTAGGAGGATGAAGAATACAGCACGTTTGGCAAAAGGAAGGCCATTATTCCCCGCGGGCCAGAAACCTCTCTCCTATCCCCAGGCCAGGCGGGAGCCACTGTAGCCAGAGAAGCTTCCAGACTTCATCCAGTTTCCCCTTTTTCGTCAGCAGAGGGCAGCAGAGAAGCAGCCCCTTGGCTGCCTCTGAAACCTTCCCTGGGGCCGGCGCTGGGGGTACCAGGAGGAAGATGGATCGCTCCCGTCCTCTGAGGAGGCCCCTCCCGGGAGGGAACCAGCTTTGTGGTTAACCGCGGGGCCTTGAGAGGCATGGACGCCCTGCCCTGTGAGGCCTCCCTCCACACGCCTGCTCCTTCATTCTTCCGTTTAACAAACGCTTTGTGAGCAACTGCTGAATTCCAGGCCTGTGCTTGGCTCTGGGGACGTGAAGATAGAGAAGAGCCTTCAATGCCCTCACAGTCCATTAAGGGAGACGTGCTCTGTGGAGTGAGAGAGAGCGGCCAGGTGCAGAGGTGAGGTGAGCCCACCTTGCGGCGAGGATGTCAGAGAGGAGACTTGCGGGAGGAGAGAGTTACCCAGCAAGGGCAGGGCCCGGAGGACGCAGGGTGACAGTGTGAGCCGAGACAGGAAGGCGGGGGGTCCAGGAGGCAGGGCGGAGACATGAGCCCGGAGGCTGGGAGGGCAGGTAGGAAAGAGCTGGACGTGATGGGAGCCCGTCCTGAGGCCCTGGCCGAGGGGTGGGACAGGCAGAAACGGAGCCTAGAACGCAAAGTGACTTTCCGGGGTCACACCAAGCGTGTAGCCGAGCTGAGAGCGTGTGCACAGCTCTCCCATCCGAAGTCCAGAGCTCCTGCCCTGCCTGAAGGCGCCCGCTCGCCCTCAGGTGGTGGGATGGGGGAGGACCCCGGGTAGGGGTGGAGGCAGGACAATCCTGTAGGATGAGGTTCCCCCAAGTGTGGAATGAGGGGACCGGGGAAGGGCAGAGCTGGCCTCGGAGTTGGGTACTGGACCTTGGACTCCTGAGACCTGCATGGGCACCTGCCCTAGTCTGCATCCCAGGATGCTCCCTGGCCTCTGCTCTGCCCATCTGTGCCTGGACAACTGCCAGCTGCAGGAGCCGCGTAACCCCATCTGGACCCAAAGCCCGGCTCCTGAGGGGCCTCCACACCATCTCCAGATCCCAGGCCACCCGGGATCTTGCTCTGTTTTGAGCCTGGAGCCCCTCCCCAAGAAAGCTTGCCTGTCCAAGTCACATCCCAAGGCTGCTTCCTTAACGGAACTCCTCCTCCTGGGGGCCTGGCTTCAGCACCCCCAGAGCCAAGGATCAGGTGGGCTACCCATAGAAGCGACACTGGGACAGCTCAGGCCTTTCCAGGGCCCGGGGCAGTTGGGACACAGAGGGCCCACACAAATACTCACACATACAAACACACACACATACCAACACAGGCACATGTAAACACGGACACGACACTTTGAACTCACAAACCTGGGCCCTTACCCACACATAAATTCAAGTTCAAATAGGTAGGTACCCACCCACAAAAATGCACACATATGTGGTTAAGTCACACACCTATGTGTATTCACACCCATACACGCACAAAATCGTGCATAGGCTGGTCTGTGCCCCAGTATGTGCTGTACACACATGCATGTGCACCTGACACGTCACAGAGCAAGGCAAGCCCTTGGGTGGGAACCCCTAACCCCCCCTCCTCGACCTTACCTGACGTGACCCTAGCCTCCCTCCCCAACCTCATCTCCCACCACCCTCCTGCTTTCCCCAGACTGCTGCTGGCACGACGTGAGATGACCAGACAGCTGGCAGGAAGCTTCTGGAGATGAGTGAAATCTTTAGCAGCAGGGCAGCAGGAAAAGCCCAGCGGGCTGAACCTCCCTTCCCAAGCGCCCATCACACGCTGCCCGGAATTCCACCATCAAAGCCATTCCTGTGGATTAGGCTCCTCCGACATTGAGGTAACCCTGGAAAAGATCCTGAGTCCAACCCTCACATTGCACTTGGGAACGTGAGGCCCAGAGAGGGGAAGTTACCTGGCTAAGGACACCCAGTGAATCCATGACAGGGCCAGCACCGAACCCGGGTCTCCTCACTCCTGTTTGCTCTGCTGTTCTGGTCAGTGGGTGGAATGGGCTGGCGGGCAGCTGGGATCACAGGCAGGCCCAGGCAGCGGCTCTCATCTGGCCCAGCTGAGCCCACTCGGCTGTGCTTACGCCAGGAGTGGTGGCAGGGGGTCTCCGTCCTCACAGGGTGTCCTGAAGCCCCCTTCAATCAGACTGTGCTGCCGAGGCGGGGTGGCCTCGATGTATGAGAGCTCTCCGAACCCTTCCAGGAGGGTGGCACCTCTCCGGAGAGATCAGGCACTCAGAAGAGCAGGTGAGACCCCTTCTCCCATCAGGCCGGGCCAGGCCCTGGAGGCAGGACACGCAGGACCCCTTCCCAGCCTCATCTGCAGCCTGGGGTCTCGCTGGGGAGAGGAGAGCAGAGAGTCCCCACCCGCCCCTACCAGGGC